CAGGATATTGTGTATTTGTCGGAGGTAATTTAGTTTCTTGGAAAAGTAAGAAACAAAACGTGGTGTCGCGTTCGAGTGCTGAATCAGAATATAGATCTATGGCACAGTCGGTGTGTGAATTAGTATGGATACATTAGCTTCTGACTGAATTGGGATTTGACATCACCACTCCAATGAAACTTTGGTGTGATAATCAAACAGCTCTTCATATTGCATCTAATCCAGTATTTTATGAACGAACCAAACACATTGAAGTTGATTGTCATTATGTATGTGAGAAAATACAGCAAGGATTGGTGGCTACAGGGTATGTGAAGACTGGAGATCAGCTAGGAGATATGTTTACTAAAGCATTGAATGGAGCAGATTATTTGTCTAACAAGTTGGGCATGATTAACATATATGCACCAACTTGAGGGGGAGTGTTAGAGTATATAGATTAGTATATTTTATATTCTTGTGTTAATATTAATTTGTCATTTACCTTCTCCTTATAGGATTAGGTCAACCTTATATATTTGTCTATATATATAGACTTTAATAATGAGAATACATCACATTGGATTCTCTCCCACCTTAGTCTCTACATACTTGAAGTGTTGTTAATTTGTGAAAATCAAAATAAAAAGGACCAAAATAGTTACTTCTCTAAAGTTCAATGACTAAAATAGACATTTAAGCTCCCAAGGGACATCCCTGTTAGCAAGGGCTTGAGATCTTTGGTCATACTACTAGCTTGGAGGACTCAACTTCGAATCTTCGAGTGAGCTTAATACGAAAAACTCTTGATATCCCCTAGGTTCGGGCCCTGGGGTTGGTGCAGGTGCCTCCAGGTATTAAATAAATAGACATTTTAAAAGTTTAAGGATCAAAATAGAATAAATCTGAAAGTTTAGGGACGAAAATAAACATTTTGAAAGTTCAGAAACCATAATGGAATAATCTTGAAAGTTCAGGACTAAATTTGGATTAAAACTTTTATTGTTTCACGCCCAAAAAAATTATTGATTGAGGTTAGTGTAATAAGATTTGTGGTTTCTTAATTAGAATTCCATTATCGACCAACACATCTAAAAAAATTAATGTTTTTAGATGTCTGTATATTACGTGGCATGCAAGTAAAGCAAAACCCTTTGCCAAACTAACTAAATAAGTCCTCCACACCAATTCCAAGTTATATTCTTGAAAGTAAGAATTCCTATCTTGGTCTTTGTGCATTTAGGCAATAAACACCATAAGTTTGAGTTCCGAGAATTACATAGGCTATTCGTGGACTTTGCAAGATCCTTCTAGTATTAATCAGCCCTTCCCTTTTTATGTTTGTCATCAAAATTTAGTTGCCATTTGATATTCTTGATGTGTACAGAAATTTTGAGTTGACTGATTCTTATTCTTGAAGTGACATTTTTTACAGCAAGATCTAATTAGCTTGTTTCTACACAATGTAGACAGAACATGATGGGTCGGATTTACAGATTGATATGAATGTAGAGCATAACTATGAAGAAGATATTGTTCCCAACATGACTAGGTCACCCAGGGGCAAGTATATAACTTACTATGAAGATTCAGAAAGTATTCCAGGAAAAAGAACGGCAGTATGGGAGCTTGATAAAGGTATGTCGTGTCAACACTCAATAACTGAAGGATGGTTTCAAAGCTTACAGTGTTGCATTTGGCACTTGTATGAAATTCTTTTTGTTGTTTACGGGACCCATTTTAAATAGTGTGCTCATTATGGAAAGAAGAACTTGAGATTTCCTCCAGTTAATTGGGAAAATCTTAGGAATCAAAAAGATTTTTAGGATAGCAATTAGCAGTCAATGACAGCGGTAAAGATCTAAAAAGGTTCATTTAAATGAAGGGGAAAAATAAAGTAATTCTGCTGCTTGTACCAACTTTAAATAGATTTAGTTCGAGTTCTACATTGAACTAGGAAAAGAGAAGGAAAGAAAGCCTCTTGGTGGTGTTCAAATCGTAGAAAATTCTGTTGTAACTATAGTTTTAGTTGATTATGTCATTTTGGAAGGCTCTTCTTTAGTAGATCGTTTCAGGGAGGAGCCTTCTTGTCTCTTAGCCCTTAGAATGTTCCTTTCCTTTTCGAATATACATATTTTTGTCTCTTACCCAAAAAAACAAAGGAGAAAAAGAACAGATGCAGGCAGTCTGACACGTATCATACAATACAGTCGAGAAATTATTCTTCCTCTCTTGCATTCTGCATCCAATTCAAGGTTACACACACAATCAGTAACACATCATTAAAAATGTAAAAATGTAAATGTGTAAATGTACTCTTACTGACGTCATCTCAATATAGTTAATCACAGAAACATTGTGAGATCCCCTGTTCTAATGCGAGAATTGTGGCTCCAGATGTTGCACGATATCCATCCCAATGCGAAGTCAAATTTTGTTACTAAAGGTAAATCTCATGGAAAATACTTGGCTCCTTAATAGCGAGGAATAAATCTTGTCCTTACCACCATTAAATATTTGACAACTGAGATAGAGAAATGCAAAAATAGAGACATTTTATAAAAACTAATGAGCTTTCAATTTTTCAACGTTTCAACGTGAGGATAAGATTTGGTCCTCACCGTTAAGGAGCCAAGTATTTTTTAAATCTCATTTACATTTTTTTTGTTATTATTGTTCACTCTGTCTTTGTGATATTGGTAACAACCTTCAACAGCTAAGCGTGGACCTTTAAGGGACGAGGATTGTTACTGGGACTATGGAAAAGCTCGGTGTGCGTGGCCAGAGTACTGTGTATACAGGTTAGCCAGCCCCCCTTCTGGAGAAAATTAATCTTCCATGGTTTGTATCCTCTCACCATCTTTTACTTCATTTATTGCCTTACAGATATGTTTTTGGGGACGTTCACCTTGGTCAGAGCTGTAGGATAAAGAATAACTCAACGGATTTGCTCTCACATTATTTATAGATTAAAAGGTATCCATTTTCTTTGGCTATTCTTTTAGGTCTCGGAAGTGCAGCATAAATAATTGAAGAAAGATGATGTAGCCGCAGAAACCAGTTTTCATTTTCTTCATTGTTTTAAAATTTTCCAACTTTGCATTACGACCCCAGGCGTACATAAGCAGTCTCCCACTAAATAATATCATTCGATCGAATACTTATATCGATTAATTCTTGCTGATGATCCCAAAAACCTGCCGAAGAAATAGACAATCTTTTGCTCTATATAAGATAGGCAATGAGGTTCATATGATTAGGTTTTGTTGTGGCACCAATTATTGTGAGAAAGAATTGACGTCATGAAAATCTATTTACTCCAGCTGTTGTCTTCCATCACTTGCAGGTTGCACAAATAGAATTTCTGGTAGCAAAAATGGCAAATTCCAGCTAAATTATGCTCCAGAGGATAAAGAACATTTTCTATTGACATTCATTGTAATAAGTAGAAGAAACGTTACTAGAGCTTCTCTTCCAATTATTATAAGAAACACTCGGTTGTATGCCAGTAAAAATAATGCCACAAAATTTTGTTGAGATTTTTTGTTTGTATGCTCTGCCAATAGTTTTGCATGTAAAGGTGATAATATTATGAGAAGGAACACATGTAGGTTATGGATGTTTCACTCCATCTTCAAAACAATTTCCTAGCTTTCAAGATTCAAAATTGGGTTTCTTAGGCTGGTTTTTTGAAGTACAAAAATAAATATGAAAATCCAAAGAACCAATTGCACAATTCTAACTGTGGATCAAAACAGGAAGAGGAAAAAAAGATGATCACATAGTTCAATAGACGAAAACAATTAAGAAAAGGGAGGAATGGTCCTAGCAAAGGGAGAAGACGTGCATCGGCTCGATGTGAAGTGAACCGAGCTAACTGCACCATCTGTCGTCATCTTTGAACTGTGATAAAGCAACAAATAAAGGTTTAACCACATGAATTTCTTCAATTCATCCATATAATGATGCAACACAATCTTAACAGCAGCAAAGCACAGGAATATGTTAGTTGGACAGAGAGCTTTAGTTCAAAAAACACATCAAAATCAGCTTATGACACTGATAGAAATCCCTCAAAAAGCAATGAGAGTTTCATCACTTCAAGCAATTATTTAACATCTCAGAAAAATGAGACATTAGGAGCCTGTTTGGTAATGTTTCCATTCTTGTTTGAGCTTATTTGGTAATGTTCCCACTCTTGTTTCTCCTTTCTAATTTTATGAAACCAAAACATTTGACAACTATTTTTGTTTTTCTGTTTTTAACTTTTTTTTAGAAACATTTTCAAAATTATATAGAAATTTTGAAAACGACAGAAGCAAGTTTCTTATTTCTTGTTCCCGTTTTCAATTTTTTTAAAGACAAATAAAAATATTGTTTTATCATTATTGAATTGATGGGTATCACGTTCTATACAATTCTATTTCTTCTTGTTAAAAACAAATAAAGAAAAACATGAAATGAGAATGTTACTAAATAGACCATAGTCATCCTTCTTTGATTTCTTCCAAAGGTGGCTCAAGCATCCATTCGAATCATGCTTGAATAATGACTTGAGCTAAATGATACACTCGAAAAGGAATTATAGAATCTTCAAAGACAAAGGAACGTAATTTCGATAGTTTTTTTTAATGATTTAATCTTATTAGTTATATCATGTTGTAAATGCTCCCCACTTTTCACCATTATATTGTTTTCTTTATCCAATTGGAAAAGTTTTTTTGTAACTCCCTTGGATGGGTATACTTCCCTATTTTGTAATTTCATATCATCAATGAAATTATTTCTTATAGAATGAATCAATACATACAGTATTAGGACCGCCCCAAAGGTGGTCGTGATGGTAAGGTCTTGAGATGATTGAAAATACATCCCAAGATCTTAGATTTAAGCTTCTAAGTGGAAATTAAATAATTTTAAATCCTTGTAGGACCTCCAATACATTATTAAATAAAATGTTATATATAACTTTTTAGATAAAGATACTTTCCTGGTATATATTTCAGATTCTCAAGCACAAGTTCATCCTTTAAGAATTTGTTGTTGGAAAAATTAAAGAAATCCTAATTCATGATTATTGTAGAATAAAAGTCATAAAATTCCAAAACAAATCTAAGCATGGAAGAAAACCAAAATCTATAAAGAGATTAAAATTACCTTGTACCACTACATAGATTGACCATGAACTGCAGGAAGTTGTGGTTTGTGGTCTTCCTCAACTATGCAATCCGGATCAAATATGGGCAATACTTTTTGTTTGATAGGAAACAGAAGGTTTAAGAAGCATAGTGTATTGGGGACTATAATTATATATTTAAAGGTTAATCTCCTAATAATAATGGATCGGTTTCCAATATCACTTACATGTCCGCCCAAGTTCAATTGCTTTTTAATTTGTTACCCTTAATTAATTATTAAATTAATTCTAACAATCTCCAACTTGGGTAATAATTTTCTTTATTAGCAATTATATTAATTTATTCTTTAGTGCACAACTCAATGCTATTAAAATAAACTTCCCTTTAATCACAATCTGGTCCATCTCGTATATCGATGAGGAACCAAATGGCTTTTGTCACACGTATAGTCGTGACTCAGCCTTCATGATGTGAACCAAGGAAGCACCAATGGCATGCCTCAAGGACCCATAACGAGATCAAGAGTCAAGAAGCTACAACAAGCTTTACTTTCTCATGTTCAATACTTGGTGAGCTCGGCTAGGGATGATCAAGAGAGAGATGGAACTTTTGAAGTGAATATCTTCCAAGTAGAACTTAAGGGAGGCCTTGCATTAAATGAACTCCAAGTTCATTTAAAGGAGCTGAAGTTGGAAGTGGGTTGAACTCAAGTTGCATTCAATAAAGCCAAGTTCAATTCAAGGAACTCAAGTTGCATTAAATGAACTTAAGTTGCATTAAATGAACTTAAGTGCATCTCAAGCTTCATTTATTGCAAGTCATCCATCAATTAATAGAACTACACTTCAAACTACTTCAAGTGAAGCTTCATTTATAATTGGGAGGTTACAAAGACTTTGAAGGGTGACCAAGACTTCAATTCTCGGATTTAAACCTCTTTTTATTATATTTTCAGTTTTAAACATTTCATTTATGTGTTTTAAGTTACATTTTAGCTAGTGGATGTTATGACCATCATGTAATTGGGAGTTACAACCTTTCAAATGCCTTTAGGTTACTTTTAGGGTTGTTTTGGAGGCTATAAATAGCCTAGTTTGTTTCCTTTGAAATACAGATTTTATGATTGAATGAAAGTTGCTATTTTGCTTCAAAAGCCTAGAGCTTGTTTTTCTTTGCAATTCTTGAGTGTTAGATTTGCATGCTAGAGTCATTCAAGTAGCTTTGATCAAGCTATCTTGTGGAGTGATTTGAATCTTGAGTTTTGAAACAAGTTTTCTCTACTCTTGATCTTGATCATCAAGGTAAATTCGTTCTAACTTCTACCTTAGGTTGAAATCATCTTGATTTGGGGGTTTCAGCATTTGCGATCTAGGGGTTTGCATAACCATAAGGATTCTTAGATCCAATTGGCTATTGTTTTCTTATCACTTCAATTATCACAAAACCAAATATACTCAATGACGTGGATCAAGTGTGGAAGAGTAGCATAGGAATTACATGTAATATGATATAAACATGTCTATTCCCAACTGGTCCAACTTTATTCTTTAAAGAGATCAAAATTTATGCTTTCTAGCTTTATGTTAAACTACATTTAGTAAGAAAATCATTCAGAGTAACAAATAAACCATCTTCTTTATTCTGCAGAAAAGAAAACCACGTGTCTAATTTAAGAAAACACAAACTCCCACTCAACTGACATACCATAATTTTCATATCTGTATGAGCATTATGCTCAAAAAACATTTTTTTGAAGTGCCCTTAAATGAGCAGATCCATAATGATGGAGTTGCATTTCTTTAGAAACAAAAATACTCTGAATTTTCTTTATCAACTAAAGCTTAAATATTCATATAAAAGCTTTTGTTACTGTAATATGGAAAAAACAAATCTATGTCAAAACAAGCTAATGAAAAAATTTGACAACCATATTCTTAAGTTGCCATATACAAAATGCCATGAACACAATCTTTTTAACCTATTAGTCAAAGGTGGATCTAGATGACAACTCAAATTATTAAAATCAAATAGCCTTATAATCTCTAATTAATATGATTTTGATAAGTGAGCATGTAATCTTTTTTGTTAAGCACTTTATAACTCTTTAGATCCAATTTATAAGAGTTATAAAAAATTGTCTTTCATTCTTGATATGAATACTGTTATGGAAGTATATAGCTAGACTTTAAGCATGAATTTTTTATTTTACTTTATTATTCAAGGGACCTCTATTAAAATCGAGCTAGTCTCCACTAGTGATTTCAATATCCCCTAGTGCATAAATCTTTATGCTAGAGAACTTGTAATACCTTTCAACATAACTCTTTTGTGAATTCTCAATGTTACTTGAGATTGATCTTACAATATCATTTCACAATATAAAAAGATATGTTCATGCAAGTTTTCATCCTCTAACAAGGCCTTTATTATGTCGCAAACATATTACACTAGGTAAATAAATTTACTCCCACTAAACCTGTAATTCATAATTATTACTCTTATTATCTTCCAATGTTACATATATATGATAATATCAATATGTAATGAAAATTATGTAATTACAGATAAAAATTCTTCATTGAGATCACAGATAAATGTAAACCTTTTGAAACTTTGTGTTACTAGATCAAAAGTCTCCAAAAGATACAAACTTATTGATTTCATAAATTATACAATTAAGAAACCAATATTTATATTCATCTGATACAATTAAAAAGAAGGTTATAAGTATTGTCATTTACTTGAAAGAACATTTTGAGAAGTCATATAAAAAATCTCTAAAAATTAATGTCAGCATTAAGTATTGAAACAATAACAACTAGATGAGCCTTATATTTGTTAAAAATTGTCCTTTAGAAGCAATATAACAAAATGTAAAATATCTTCGTTGTTTGTTATTTCAACACATTATTTATGACATTAATTTTTCCTTTTAAGAGATAAAACTTTGTTTGACTTTAGAGTAGATATTCTTTTTGATAAAACTTAAATCTTTATAATCATATTTCTCCTATCTCTTCTACTTACTTTAATGACATTTTTAACCATGTTGAGTTTGTTCTACTAATGACATTTTTAACCATGTTGAGTTTGTTCTACTCAAATGAGAAGAATCTTTATTCTTTACTAATGTTGTCATAAAAAGAAAATAATTAAATTTTTGTTAAATACAACATTCTTTAATTTATCTTCCCCCCAAACTCAACATCTTTAAGGAACCTTAAGATCTCATCAACATCAACTTTAAGTGGAAACTAACTTAAGAAATTAACATATTGAAAAGACTAGTGTATCTAGAGTGACAACTAAAAACCTTTAAGTCCAAGTCTCGTAAAACCTTGTATTGCAAGTGATTTTAGTTGTTTCTTTATTTGGTACACCACTTAAACTTTTTTATAACAATCTTGACTGCTTTCTCCAAATAGAAAGAGGGTAAGGAAAAAGGATTTGTCATATTTCTTACCACATCTTTTTTGAGATTTGAATCATTTTA